AGATTATTCAGCTGGGGGGATTAGGCTTTAAAAAATGCTTCCAATTAAAACATGAAGCCAAAACCTCTTCAGATAAAAATTAATTAATTAAAAAGTGGTAGAAGTAGAATTTTGTGCATTTAGTGCAACGTTTTCCACTCAGAACATGAAATCTGCTGTAGCCTGCATAGTTTTGGGAGTATTTTGAAACCAGTATCAGTATTTTTACTACAATAAGACTGACCTCAGGTTGGTATTGTTACACTAAACATGTAAAGCTGAGATTGTTTTATACCGGTGTAGTATGAATACAACTTTATTAAAATGTGTACAAAAAGCAACAAATGCATAATTTCAATAATTTCAGTAAAAAAAAATGAACAAGTGAAGTTGCATCATTTTGCAGTTTAGAAACTATTTAGTGCTCAAGATTCCTGCAGATCCTTAAAAAGCATTAAAAGGCTTCATCAGATTCATCAATCCAAAAATAAGGCCTTAATTAGCCTTAAAATGTCTTAAATCAAGCTTTCAGAGGTCTTAAAAAACATTGTAGCTAAATAGGATTATTGTAATTCATCTCTAATTTTTAAATAATTGGTAACATTTATTTAGTATTTAAAAATAATTTACTGAATGCCTCTCAAATTATTTTATTAAAGTTAACAAAATTCTGTTTTGTTAAAAATAAACATTTGGGTAAAATTGTTGCTAAGTTTTTTGGGGGGAGTTTTGTCCTGATGCATCTCATCTCACCACAATCTTTCCTTTTTGATTTTTTTTTTACGTATTAGTTTTTTGTGAAATTGGTCTTAAAATAAATTTCAAGTGGCATTAAAGAGGTCTTAAAAAGTCTTAAATTTAGCTTGTTTTAAGCTGTAGCAACCCTGGTGCTGCTAATGACAAACATTAGAAATTAGGGGAAGCTAACCGCTAAAACAGCTGTCACTGTTTCCAAAGTTAGCAAAAAAGCTAGCAAGAAGATGGCGGCGGTGGCGGCAGATGTATGTAGCTGTGAAGTATCGCTGCAGGAAAATACATCCCATTTGTCTTTACAGGCATCTGCTGGTCTGTTTTTGACCAAATTTACCTCAGCTTTAGTGTTGCTGTTACTCTGTATGCTACATAAACGGAAGATCAAAGACGCAAATGACGGACATCATTTTCGAAAAACGACAGCACACAAGCGTCCTATGGCGTGTACACAAGCATCGAGCATAAGTTATCCTAACTTTGGTAAATATCATCTACCTTGCCGGTTGGGCTGGTTTCTCCGGCTTGCTGCTGTTGCGGCGTGTCTCGGTGGAGTGGCGGATGTGGATGGAGTCCCTCGGCCCTCGGATCGTCCCTCGTGTTTGGACGGAGCGCCTGGGGTGGACTTGCCGGCCTGGACTACACATTCTCACTCCCGACTCTTCACATATTGACGCTTTTCCAAGG